CACTCCTGACTGGTGAGGAAGCCTGTCAATCATCAAATCGGCCAATCAGCGGGAGAAGAGGTCAGAATGGAGCAGATGACAGAGGAGGTCGCGGCAATCTTGCTTCATTGAAAACGCGTGTGTGCGGCGGATTCGGGTCCCTGAAGATGGCGGACGCGGCACAGGTACTCGTTTTATGTATTAGAGTATTTGCACGAGTACGAGTACTCATGCAAATACTCGGTATCGCGGCAGATACCGATGCTTGTATCGGTATCGGTGCATCCCTACTTTTTATGAATATATTGTTTATTAGCACTTTACCAAAATGTGCATATAATTAAAATAGTGAGGGATTTTTAATTGTCTTTGCAGCTACCTCAGCTACACAGAAGGATGCCAGATGTTTTTCAAGAGCTTGCCAATTCTGAGAATTATTGTAGAAACCCAGGAGGAGAACACGATCGTCCTTGGTGTTATATAGCAGATCCCAATGTTCAATGGGAGTACTGCAACATTCCGTTATGTAGGGCAGGTAGAGTACTTTTTGGTTTACTGTATGCTGCTCACATTGAATTTTAGAAAACAACCAAATGTTACAAGACAAAGAATTGAAGTTGTACGTAGGATTCAGTCTCATGGATATAAACCAAGACTGCCCTGATTTTCAAGTAACTAATAAAAACCACCAAGAGGTGGATCTTATAAAATGTATCTAATTGATTGTTGCATATTAATGCACTCTGTACACCCTAGCTTTAATTCCTTAATGCATGAGGCCATAAATGCCTTACAGTTCTTTTACCACACACACATACCTGTATGCTTGTACAAGTCAGTAGGGGTTTGAAGCCTCTATAACTCACCCTTATAAACCGTATTGTGCAAATATATAGAAAAAAAATTCCATGCAGACAAAAAAATAATTTAATCTACTTGATATTAAAAAAAAATATGAATATCATACTTATACATAATTCCGTTGAAACCACACTACAGCCAAAACTGAATATTATTAGCTAATATGCACACAGTAGAAATTGCTTATGTTGTCTACTTATATGTAGTGATGCAGCAGTCCAGCCCTCTTAAAGAAAGTCTCTTGTCCCCAGTAATCTAATGTTCTAGTTCTACTGAACACTATCCGAGGCTGTACACAATTTACAACTAAACCCCGATTCATCCTAGTGCTAGTGCCATCCTGTGCCATTCCACAGTCTAGTAACAGATCCTCTACTGCCCCTTTTTTATGACAGGAGAATGGCTCAGTTGATTGTTAGAAGAAGTTAAGTGTTGCTTCCAGCTGAAGCTAATCAGTCCATAATATAAGCAAACTGTGAAATAGTTAAAAGTGACTCTGATGCCACCAATTTCTGCTGCAGTTCACAAAACCACTGGCTGAATAGCATTTAAAATCCAACCCTCCCAGGTATGTTGGATTCCTGGTTCTCCACTGCATACAGCAGCTCAATCTGCTGGCCCTATATCACTACTGCCACTACTGTGTCCTGTAGTGATGGAAGGACCTGTAAGACGAAACAAAGAGTGCAGCAGGGGATCAAAAAATTGACACCCCTGGAAGTGTTGGTTTCCTTTTTTATTTACATATCAGTCTTACACTTTTTATTTGATCCCTCTTTAAAGGTGTACCACATTTACCAGCAACTATAAAAACTGAATTTGAAGCTCCGGCTATACCATCATTGTCCTCATCCTTCTCTCCAGCACACTCCATGACACTGATTATATCTGCTATTTCCAGCTTTGCCGCCTTGATATTAGTGATAACTGTGGCTCTTGTTTGCTGCCGCAGACAGAAGAAACTGAAGAATATAAGCAGGTATTTCCACATTATGTATTACAGTTCATGTGTAACTTAAGCCTAACATTCAACACTGGAGACAGACTGAGAATCTCTGAATTGAGGATTAATGTTAAAGCAAACAGTTTATTCCTCAAACATAACTTTCCAGTTGAATACTGGCACTGTTGTAAAATGCTTATTGGCGTCTTAATCAAGGGTAAAAAAAAGTAACATTGTAGATGGCATAAAAGTGCTATGATAAGTGCAGAAGTGTGCTTATTCTTCATTAATTGCAGAATTCAAAGATTGCACAACAGACTTACTATCCCTATTGGGTCCCTGGATGTTTGCCAAATGCAGAAAAGTAGTGCATGTCGCGAATTTGGCAACATGAGTTCCACATCTTTTTTTCTGCGTGTTTGTGCACGTTCTCACGAACGCAATTGTGCAGAAAAACAGCGCGTTTGCTCAGCTGCGTTTGGGGTGCCATTACCCAGTAATGGCAATGCAAGCGCATTCTGTGTGCGTTTCATGCACATTCACTATATGCCCTGGTGTGAACAGAGCCTTACTGCAAGGTAAGGCCAGGGGCAGACTCAGACATCCCAACTCTCCTGGACGTTCCGGGAGTCTCCCGCTATTAGATAGCAGCTCCTGGCTGCTCAGGAGAGAAACATTTTCTCCCGGATTTAGGCGATGCAGAGGTGAACAGTGTAGGAAGAGGGATGCAGGGGGTTTAGATTTAAACAGTGTAGGAATAGGGATGCAGGGGATGCAAATGTAAAAAGTGCAGGAAGAGGGATGCAGGGGTGCAGAGGTGAACAGTTTAGGAAGAGGGATGCAGGGGGTGCAGAGGTAAACAGTGTAGGAAGAGGGATGCAGGGGGTGCAGAGGTGAGACATGTAGGAAGAGGGGTGCAGGGGGTGCAGAGGTGAACAGTGTAGGAAGAGGGGTGCAGAGATGAACAGTGTAGGAAGAGGGATGCAGGGGGTGCAGAGGTGAGACATGTAGGAAGAGGGGTGCAGGGGGAAGAGGGATGGAGAGGTGAGCAGGGCTGGAAAAGGGGGTGCGGAGGTGAAAATTGTAAGAAGAGGGATGCAGGGGGTGCAGAGGTGAGTAGTGTAGGATGAGGGATGCAGAGGGTGCAGAGGTGAGAAGCATAGTAAGAGGGGTGCAGAGGTGATAAGCGTAGGAAGAGGGATGCAGGGGTGCAGAGGTGAGCAGTGTAGGAAGAGGGATGGAGAGGTGAGCAGGGCTGGAAAAAAGGAGGAAGGGAGGCAGAGGTGAGCAGTGCTAGAACAGAGATGGAGGGGTGCAGAGGTAAGCAGTGTAGGAAGAGGGACGCAGGGGGTGCAGAGGTAAGACATGTAGGAAGATGGATGCAGGCGTTACAGAGGTGAACAGTGTAGGAAGAGGGGCGCAGAGATGAACAGTGTAGGAAGAGGGATGCAGGGGGTGCAGAGGTGAGTAGTGTAGGATGAGGGATGCAGAGGGTGCAGAGGTGAGAAGCATAGTAAGAGGGGTGCAGAGGTGATAAGCGTAGGAAGAGGGATGCAGGGGTGCAGAGGTGAGCAGTGTAGGAAGAGGGATGGAGAGGTGAGCAGGGCTGGAAAAAAGGAGGAAGGGAGGCAGAGGTGAGCAGTGCTAGAACAGAGATGGAGGGGTGCAGAGGTAAGCAGTGTAGGAAGAGGGACGCAGGGGGTGCAGAGGTAAGACATGTAGGAAGATGGATGCAGGCGTTACAGAGGTGAACAGTGTAGGAAGAGGGGCGCAGAGATGAACAGTGTAGGAAGAGGGATGCAGGGGGTGCAGAGGTGAGTAGTGTAGGATGAGGGATGCAGAGGGTGCAGAGGTGAGAAGCATAGTAAGAGGGGTGCAGAGGTGATAAGCGTAGGAAGAGGGATGCAGGGGTGCAGAGGTGAGCAGTGTAGGAAGAGGGATGGAGAGGTGAGCAGGGCTGGAAAAAAGGAGGAAGGGAGGCAGAGGTGAGCAGTGCTAGAACAGAGATGGAGGGGTGCAGAGGTAAGCAGTGTAGGAAGAGGGACGCAGGGGGTGCAGAGGTAAGACATGTAGGAAGATGGATGCAGGCGTTACAGAGGTGAACAGTGTAGGAAGAGGGGCGCAGAGATGAACAGTGTAGGAAGAGGGATGCAGGGGGTGCAGAGGTGAGTAGTGTAGGATGAGGGATGCAGAGGGTGCAGAGGTGAGAAGCATAGTAAGAGGGGTGCAGAGGTGATAAGCGTAGGAAGAGGGATGCAGGGGTGCAGAGGTGAGCAGTGTAGGAAGAGGGATGGAGAGGTGAGCAGGGCTGGAAAAAAGGAGGAAGGGAGGCAGAGGTGAGCAGTGCTAGAACAGAGATGGAGGGGTGCAGAGGTAAGCAGTGTAGGAAGAGGGACGCAGGGGGTGCAGAGGTAAGACATGTAGGAAGATGGATGCAGGCGTTACAGAGGTGAACAGTGTAGGAAGAGGGGCGCAGAGATGAACAGTGTAGGAAGAGGGATGCAGGGGGTGCAGAGGTGAGTAGTGTAGGATGAGGGATGCAGAGGGTGCAGAGGTGAGAAGCATAGTAAGAGGGGTGCAGAGGTGATAAGCGTAGGAAGAGGGATGCAGGGGTGCAGAGGTGAGCAGTGTAGGATGAGGGATGCAGAGGGTGCAGAGGTGAGAAGCATAGTAAGAGGGGTGCAGAGGTGATAAGCGTAGGAAGAGGGATGCAGGGGTGCAGAGGTGAGCAGTGTAGGATGAGGGATGCAGAGGGTGCAGAGGTGAGAAGCATAGTAAGAGGGGTGCAGAGGTGATAAGCGTAGGAAGAGGGATGCAGGGGTGCAGAGGTGAGCAGTGTAGGAAGAGGGATGGAGAGGTGAGCAGGGCTGGAAAAAAGGAGGAAGGGAGGCAGAGGTGAGCAGTGCTAGAACAGAGATGGAGGGGTGCAGAGGTAAGCAGTGTAGGAAGAGGGACGCAGGGGGTGCAGAGGTAAGACATGTAGGAAGATGGATGCAGGCGTTACAGAGGTGAACAGTGTAGGAAGAGGGGCGCAGAGATGAACAGTGTAGGAAGAGGGATGCAGGGGGTGCAGAGGTGAAAATTGTAGGAAGAGGGATGCAGGGGGTGCAGAAGTGAAAATTGTAGGAAGAGGGATGCAGGGGGTGCAGAGGTGAGTAGTGCTGGAAGAGGGAGGCAGGGGGGCAGAGGTGAGCAGTGCTAGAAGAGAGATGCAGAGGTGAGCAATGTAGGAAGGGGGGTGCAGGGAGTAAAGAGGTGAACAGTACTGGAAGAGAGATACAGGGATGCAGTGGTGAGACGTGTAAGAAGAGGGATGCAGGGGGTGCGGATGTGGGCAGTGCTGGAAGAGAGATGCAGACGTGAGCAGTGTAGGAAGGGGGATGCAGTGAGTGAAGAGGTGAACAGTGCTGGAAGAGAGATGCAGGGATGCAGAGGTGAGCAGTGTAGGAAGAGGGATGCCGATGTAAGAAATGTAAGATGCAGGGAGTGCAGAGGTAAACATTGTAGGAAGAGGGATGCAGGGGGTGCAGAGCTGAACAGTGTAGGTAGAGGTATACAGGGGGTGCAAGAATATATATGCGGGTGGGGCTTGTATATGGGTGGAGCACAAGGGAGCCCCATAATCTTAAATTGCCCTGGGGCCCCATGTGTTGACAGTCTGCCCATGGGTAAGGCTTTAGTTCAGCTTGTATAGAGGGGGCATCAGTGACCTCATGGGGGTATAAAGTTACCAATGGGTCCCTTACATTTTAGTTACCGAGCTGTGAACTCTCAGAAAGATTGTTAGTTATTTCATGCTGCAGATAAGAGAAGGTGAAGCAGGTAGAACCCTGGTGTATAATTCCAAGCATAACTCCTGGAAGCTTCAGTGAGTTCAAAACATATATATTACATTTTGTCAGTTCTGACACTTCTGTATTTGATTAGGACAGCATTATATAGGCTGGATTACCAATTTTTATTGCCAGCTGAACAGCTACTATAAATTTGAGAATTCGAACTTTTATCATTCATAAGACATAACAAATGCTGGTCATACAAATGCTGTAATTACCGTAAAGGACAGGAATGTCTGTTTCAAACTGCTTCTCAACATATCTGAATCATTCTGTGAGCAGCTGGACTAAGCCATATGAATTCGATGTGTGTGGTGCTTACCCCAAAGAAGCTTGAATGAAGAGTAATCCTGACATTACATAAGAAGAACAAGGAGGCTTTATGTTTTCTTTTAGGACATAACGTAGCAGTCAGTTAGTAAGTAAAAGAAAGAGTGTGTGTAAAAATGCTTATATATCCTTTACAGTCAGTATAGTATTTTTACACATTTTATTCTTTTAACATTTGGTATATGTTTTTGTGGTTGCTAATGTCATTCACTTCTATTCCAGAGTAGAGATGTCACTGTTCTAACACTGTTTTATGTTTGTATAATTGTACAAATGTAATTGTTTCATGCAACTCATTGTTTAATTGTGTAATTCTTTATTGTTAGTGCAGAAAAAAACACACATATTTATAAAAGGGTCATTTGTTTGTGTTGTTTAGTCAATGCCAATTCTGCAGCAGATCTTTTGTTGTAGTTATGAAGCATACAGTATTTGCCTGCTGGTTTTACCCAGTGGCAAACTCCATCATTGGGCACTCATCTGGATTTCCCATTACTCCACCATTGGGTACTCATCTGGATTTCCTATTACTCTACCATTGGGAACTCATCTGGATTTCCCATTACTCCACCATTGAGCACTCATCTGGATTTCCCATTATTCCACCATTGGGCACTCATCTGGATTTCCCATTACTCCACCATTGGGTACTCATCTGGATTTCCTATTACTCTACCATTGGGAACTCATCTGGATTTCCCATTACTCCACCATTGGGCACTCATCTGGATTTCCCATTATTCCACCATTGGGCACTCATCTGGATTTCCCATTACTCCACCATTGGGCACTCATCTGGATTTCCCATTTACAGGAATGTCTGTTTCAAACTGCTTCTCAACATATCTGAATCATTCTGTGAGCAGCTGGACTAAGCCATATGAATTCGATGTGTGTGGTGCTTACCCCAAAGAAGCTTGAATGAAGAGTAATCCTGACATTACATAAGAAGAACAAGGAGGCTTTATGTTTTCTTTTAGGACATAACGTAGCAGTCAGTTAGTAAGTAAAAGAAAGAGTGTGTGTAAAAATGCTTATATATCCTTTACAGTCAGTATAGTATTTTTACACATTTTATTCTTTTAACATTTGGTATATGTTTTTGTGGTTGCTAATGTCATTCACTTCTATTCCAGAGTAGAGATGTCACTGTTCTAACACTGTTTTATGTTTGTATAATTGTACAAATGTAATTGTTTCATGCAACTCATTGTTTAATTGTGTAATTCTTTATTGTTAGTGCAGAAAAAAACACACATATTTATAAAAGGGTCATTTGTTTGTGTTGTTTAGTCAATGCCAATTCTGCAGCAGAGGTTTTGTTGTAGTTATGAAGCATACAGTATTTGCAGGACTCATCTGGATTTCCCATTATTCCACCATTGGGCACTCATCTGGATTTCCCATTACTCCACCATTGGGTACTCATCTGGATTTCCTATTACTCTACCATTGGGAACTCATCTGGATTTCCCATTACTCCACCATTGGGCACTCATCTGGATTTCCCATTATTCCACCATTGGGCACTCATCTGGATTTCCCATTACTCCACCATTGGGCACTCATCTGGATTTCCCATTTAATGGAAATCTAGGTTTCTGTAACAAGATAATGAACATTAAAGCCGTTGGCCTCAATAGGTTTTTAAGATCTACTTTATTTAGAAAGTGAATTGTTGACCTGCTTGTTGCTTATTCACCACTGCGTATATTTACTGGCTTGCAAGTGAAGATTTTAGCCTAAAATAATCATCTGTATTGTATGTCAGCATTTGTATGTGCTAACAGAAATATCTAGAAATATCTAAAACTCCCTTAAATGTGCAGCACAATTGCTGATGACTGTAAGTAAACCTAGGTACAAAAACATGTTCAGCTTTGCCTGCGAATATGAGTAAAAGCAGCTGGGTAGGCTGGCACTAAAATAAACATGTTGCTTTGCTCTGCATAGCGAAAATAATTGGTTTACTTTAAAGAGCAATCATATTGATGTTATCTCAAAAAGCTACGTTCTAACAAGGCTTGAAAATTTGCAGTATTCTTTTCATCTGTACTAAATGCCCAGAAAGATCTCTTTGCTGCACATACAGTACTGTCCATACATTTAAAGAAAAGCTTTCCTGATAGAAGCATGGAGGTTTTCTGACTTCTTAACCTGGGTATACACGCTATGAATTCCCACCTGTTCTTGATGAACCGTTCAAAATTTGCTGCTTAGGTGCCACTGTTGGCACCCTTCTACCCGGCCTTCCTCGATCAACTGATCAAAGAAGCAAGTTGGAAAATTCTCGGCTGAACAGAGGTAGCAGTTAATTAACTGCTAGCTCCGTTTTGGTATTATGATAGCGGCCAGAAGCCTATGTGAGAATTCAAAGGAAACAGCGGGGGATTTGTCAACGCTTGCAAGTGTTAATGGGAAATATCTTCAATTTTTTTTCCTTCAGCCCACAGGTTGATAAAAAAAAAATAGAGCTGTGTATACCTGGCTTTAGTTGGCAAATTCTAGCTACCTGGCTGTCATTCTGAGCCTCTGACCTGACTTAGAACAGGTATGCAGATAATGGCTTTAAACTTCTTGATCTGTATACCTGTTCAAGAGCATTATTTTTATTGTATTGAAACCAGAGGGTCAACATAACAGCCAGGCAAGTAGCACATTTAGAAGCTTGGCAAATGCAAGCTCTACATTTCTTCATTTCTTTTAGTTGCAGCTTACTTTAGAACAAAAAGTAAGGTTGCAGGTCACTGCAAATGTCATTACGTCTATAAAAACCTCTGCGGCCTTGTGTTTTATACAGCCACATACCTTCTCTCTCTATGATTGCTGATATCTCAATATTTTGCAGGGTGTGAATATATATTCCAATATGATTTTGTTTCTCTAGTTACATGAAACATTAAATAAATAGTACTTTGTTAATGACAATGAATTACATTTATTTCAGGGAAACTGCTGCTCCAACTTTAACAGCCCTTCCTTCAGAGCTTGTCCTGGACAGATTACATCCAAACCCCATGTATCAGAGAATGCCTCTGCTTCTTAACCATAAACTCATCAGTCTTGAATATCCTAGGAATAATATAGAATATGTCAGGGACATTGGAGCAGGAGCATTTGGGAGAGTCTTTCAAGCCAGGTAATTATGCATTCCGTGTTCAAAACATGTGTATCATATGTTTCCATATACAGGGGCAGCAATCTTTTGCTTGAAGTGGATTAATCACAGGGCATCACCACCTGGCGCCAATCACAATGGTACTTACCAATATCCCTGGTTACTGGAAACTAAAGTGGTTTGGGATCAATTTTATTCTTTTTTTGTTTCTTTCTTTTTTTAACAAGTTATGGAAAATCTGAATTACGCTAAAAAATATTTATTACAGTGTGCACCAATGACATGTGTCACAGAGTATTATTGCTTTTCAAAAGCAGCAATTCTCAACCTTTTTTCAGCCATGACACCTTTTAAAAGTGTGCAAAATCTCGAGGCACCCTATTCTAAAATTTAAAAACCATAAATGTAAAAATGCCTGAGATATCTGTCTTATCTGATATAGGGATCTGGTATGGATTTTAACGGGGGGCCAAATGTGAAAACACAAAAAATCATCATTCTCATCAGAATCATCCTTTCTCATCAGAGTCCCCCTTGACATCAGGAGCCCCCTTCACATTAGGAGGCCATCTCACATCACGAACCTCCCTTTACATCAAAGGCATGACACTGACATTTCGAGAAGGCACTCTTGTTGAGAGAGCTGAGTAGAGGCTGTTTGCATTTATACTGTCTCTCTCTCTCATTGAAACTATGTGTGGACCAACACAGGGCAGAGGGGATGAGGAGGCAGCATGTGTCATTGTCTTGTGTATGTAATTTGAACCTGTGCTAATGAGCCCTCTGGCTTTTTTTCATCTAAAGCTGGCCATGATGTTGAACGTAGTATTGAAAAATACAAAGGAGCAGGATGGAACAAATTACATTCTAGCAGTGAATGTGGTTTTTGTTTGAGAACCTACATTCTTTTACCAAATCGATGTGTTAAAATTAAACACAATTTCAAATTACATTCTACAAGTCTCTGATCGCGTTACTGAATGTTTAGAAGAGATTTTTCATATGAACAAAAATCTAGCAGTGTATACCCAACTTCAAAAAAGTTTTAGCTATCCTGGCATGGAAAATAGTCTAGAGCTGTGTCTGCTACCTAGAAACAGGCAAATATGAAGTATTAATATGCAATATTTCATATTTACCTGACTAAAAGTGAAAAATATAAAAAAAACTTTATTTATATTACTGAATATAAATCAATAATAAAAAAGTGTACAGAAACTCCACAGATTCACATATACAAACAAACATATGTGGCTTCACACAAAAGTAGGCATCAGTCAGAAAATATAGAAGCATTTAAACGTAAAAGGCCAAATTAGTAACTGGAATGTACCTATGAAAATAGATGTTGCAAAGCCTATATCCTCTAGCAACTGATGTTACATTGTACATTTGTAGTTTAGTCACCACTGGAGGGCCAAAGTTTCACTACCCTGGGTTACAGTAGAGCCCGAGTTTGACAACTAGTAAACCAAGTGGTAGACACCAGAATGGAAGAATGCTCTCTCTCTCTTTGGCTCTCTTACACAAAGGATAGGGTCTTGGTGGACAGTGATACAAATAACGTTCCTATCCTTTGCTACAGTAAATCTTTAGGCTTATTTAACACAAAGAGAGATAACTATTGACTGATTTATTATGGCCTACTGCACCATGATTGTCGCTATTTACCTTTTGAAAAATACTAGATTCAGTGGAAATTCTAAACATACTTGACCCCATTTCTGCAGCTGCTTGGTTTTACCAGAACCAGAGGCTATGGCTATAGGGTTCAACTGCAGTAACATCTGGTGGCAGGGCTGGACTTAGAATACTTGAACTTGTAAGCAGACTTTCCTTCTACAAGGGTCACATTTTTAAGTGAAACATTTTCTTGATTTACCTGTCCTATCCTGGCTTAGTTGGGATAGGTGATGGTGGGAAATATATGTGCCCAGTCATTGTACAGCTGCCTTTTTGCCTTTGCCACCTATAAGGACAAACCTACTGAGCCAACCAGTATATCCAACTTTGGCTGATAGCAAAATCTAATATCATAATGTCACTATACAGATACACTGATGCTCCATGAGTACGGTAACAATGGGAATTGGGATGTAAGACACCTTTTTCTGTAATTACGTCTGTGGAAGTGTCTCATTCAGTTAACACCGTTAATATGGAATTCAATCTTTAAAAACCCCTGATAGTATATAAGACATCTGGTGTATTGTTTAAACCATGTCAAGACATACATTTGACATTCTTTCTTTACATATGCACCCTGTCTATTGCAGATTTACTTTTTAGCACCATTTGACCATATGTTTTCAAGTACAACATTTATCAGCAAAAGTCGAATCATCTCCTTCTGCTCCTGTTAAAATATTTGTCTTGTCTTATGTTAAACACATTCTTGTTGCTAAACTTAGTAACCTCCTTTTCTCCCCTAGTGCATGATTTTGCCTCCTGAGACATAATTTTGAATTGAGTGCCAATAATATGTCAACCAGCAGCATTCTGTTTATTCTGTTTGCAGCCTGCATATAGTCAAGAAGCTTGTCAATGCAGGAAATAAGGGTCATGCCATTTACTAAGCTCTTAAGGGGAAGTGCTAAATACTTATAAAACATGCAGCTGATAAACACACACACTGCTTAAGGCCCCATTCACAATTGTCAGTTCTTTTGCATTGTTTTAAAGCATGTGTTACCGCAAAGCACTGCAACAGAAAAGTGTTCTTTAGCCCCAAATCAATGTAAAAGTGCAAGAATGGCATAGTGAGGTGATTGCTAACTTGCTATAAGTTATTGCTCTTTTTGCACTGAATGTCCATAACAGCTGACTTATAAAAAACAAAATAGGGAAAAATAGCACTGTTGTTAATAGCAACATATTTTAATGAGAGAAAAGAAAATGGGGATAGGAGCTAGGTTCTTGCCCATGGTGTACATGAAAGAAGTAATCTGCTTGGTAACTGTGGCCATACACTTTGATTTTGTTCTCATTTCATTTATCAAATTTTTTGTCTTGTTTAAATAATTAGCCCCATTAAACTTTCATGTAATGCAGAGGACAAAGGCATATATACAGTATATGAAATCCAGCCTGTGTGACAACCATGGCTCCCTCCATAGATATAATGGAGAAATGAGTGTAGACACAAAGGGGCAGGAAGTATGTTATTTGAAGGCTCATCAGTTGGAAAAAAAAAGGCTACAACATCAAAAGCCTAGATGCACCTTTCTGACTATGTTTCTTGTTTAACCAATATCTAGGGTATAACATGAAACTTGGTCGGATCGCAGATCTGGTATTTTATGGCAGAAAGGAGATGAGGCTGCAGATCTCTTACAATGATGATACTAGCCTGTATGTCTTTTATAATCAGGCAGAATAGTGTCCTCATTCACAACAAAACCCTAGTGCTGATGGGCACTTGGCTTTTGGCTACACCACCAGTGCCCATGCAGGTGGTGCGGAAATGCAGTTTAGAAAGGTAAGTTATTATTGCTTTTTCTCTGATTGATAATACGTATACATACAGGATTACAGTTAACATCTGTAGTAGAGATCAAACAAACCACTACTTTTTTAAATTGAAAACAGTAGAAACATTCTGTTTCGGGGGTCACACGGTGGATCTACTTTTCTGTCAGAAACTCTGAGAATGATTTAAATTTGGGAGAAGAAACCATGTCTGTAGCTTGGAGCTTTCATCCTCAGGGTGAATGTATCTAAAAGAAGTGTGCTCTAGTAACTTGGACTCTGAAATACTTTTAACATACTGTTCTTTTATCTTTTAGGTTAGAAGTGCATTGACTTGACTCAAAATGTCATCTAATGCTTTTCACAGCACAAATGTCAAAACTGAAATAGAAATGACCTCTAATTTTTCCCTGCACTGTCTGTATCATTTCCTCCAGTGCCTTAATGTCCATCTTTACTTACTTTTAATTTGAAGAATTGCCCCCTGCGCTCACTTTAGCAGGTTATCAGCCCTAATAACAGTAATTTTCATCCATATGACTGTGATTTTCCACTTTGTTTGGTTGCAACTTGCCATTGCTGATAGTAATAACTATTATGGCAAATAATGATTGTTTCTGCTTTGTGAATTGAGTAAGAATAGCAGTGCATGGAAAACTATTGTAAATGAGTCTGTTCAGAAAAATGAACCACATATGGAATGAATGAAGAGATAACTGAGACTTCAGAACATAATAGCAGGATGGATATAACAGGTATTATCCATTAATGATGAGATGGATCATAGATCTGTGCAAAACTCTCTCCAGGAAATTTCAACAAAATCTAGGGCAGTCACTTTCCCCTTGCTGGTTTTGACTTTTGGACAAATGATAACCTTCTGGCTCATTACACGTGTGCTCAGCAAACATGCCTAGTAGTGTATAAGCTTACTTTCCACATTTCCACATTTCATGCTCTTAGCATTTGGCATATTTCTTGTAGTGTGGTTCCGGAACCATGTTTGTCCTGTCTGTTCACATTTCTAAGAAACTGAATTATGCTGGGGGTTGAAATGTGTTGCCTAGTGGGTATTATATGTAATCCATTATATTATTCTTTTGATGAGGTTGTATCAAAGTATATGTTTAAAGAACAGTGCTTAAAAATAACACAAGTACAAAGATGCAGGATTTTCACACAATTGCACCTGTTATTAATTGAGTTTGTAATTGCTATGATTGAGCACCATCATGTTGCTTAGCAAATGAGGTGCAGGGCAAACAGTAAACATACATATACTGATTAATTAACAATATGGAACACTGAAGGAGAAGTGATATGAGGACCCTTCTAGTTTATTGAATTATTTTAATAGCATTATGATATTTCTGAGAGTTACAAAGCTACAAAAAAAATCAGACTGATAAAAAAAACAATAAAAAGGCAGGATTCTAAAGAATAGAATCATTTATAAAATGGGGACAAAAAGAAACAAAGCTAGTAAATATCTTCTTTTGATCTGTGTATACAAAATAGCATACAATTGCTGATGTACAATATAAGGATTTTAGTGACACAGTTTCAAATCCCCTACAGTGGTTTATAATACATAAAAGGCTTTTCTTAAATTTGCATGAAGCACTTTGCCCCTGCTTATTTACACGATTCCTAAAAATCTGTGAGATTAACATATTTGATGGTCTTGCAGGGCGCCAGGACTACTTCCATATGAATCCTTCACCATGGTGGCAGTAAAGATGCTGAAAGAAGAGGCCTCAGCTGATATGCAGGCAGACTTCCAGAGGGAGGCAGCACTCATGGCAGAATTTGATAACCCACACATTGTAAAACTTCTAGGTAAGGAATTCTTCCATAAAGAAACCAGACAGTTCTCAGCCACTTTACTTATTTTTCTGAGCATGATACCAAATTGAAATTCCTATGACTAAATCTATATGTTATATATAAAAATCTACAAAAAACATCTACAGACACACACACTGGTCACACTATGAATTATAAATCATAACCCTTGCAGTGGGGCTACCCCCACGCTGCAAGGGTTTACTTTCCAGGTAAAAAAAAAAAAGTTATGCTCACCTGAACCTCAAATCAGGACGGCTGTGACTCCGTTCCATCCAGCCTGTCTTGACCTCTGCTGCAGCAATGGCATGTCCCTCAGCATCCTCAAGTCCTATACACCATATAGAATATGATGTCTCGAGGATCCTTAGACCCCTGCAGGGGAGAGAGGAGCGAGGCTCCAGGGTCCGGTCTAAGAGCCAGTGGGTATAACTTTTTTTTTTTATAACCTAGACACAAACGAGCACTTAGCCCTTGCAGTGCACGAGTAGCCCCACTGCAAGGGTTAAGAATTC